AAGAGCAAGAAGTGAAAGATTCTGGCAAATCTTGATGACATTTTTTAAAGTGTATTACCACTTTCGTAGTCAAATTTGAGAGAACCCCTCTGTTTTATGTGTTCCTATGCACACAGCATAGTTACATTTTTTTATTCTTATTTCTGAGCAGTCACAGTGATCTGTCCCATATTTTCCAACAAAAAACTTGCGCCGATATGTGACACAATAAGCTGCATATACTTACAATCTGTGTACTACATACTAAAATCTCAATCTTGTGTGCAGGGATTTAAATACAAAGACAATATAACAATTGTTACAATGTAAACACAAGTATAAATGAATCCATCGTTGAAAATAAGTAGCAATACGTGTCCATAAAAACCTTTTTTATATATCCAAGAAGATTATTAAAATATAGTCCCATTCCAAAAGGATCCTACTTTAAAGATAGCTGCTTTTTAAGTTTTTCCACGTGTGAGTAACAACACTCCTCCACCGCTGCTATTTTTTTACACCCTAAAACACCACCTTCACTTCACCTCCACTCGTGAATAGCCCTAGAAGACAGCCTCTCTCCTCTTTATTAGACCGCAATCAATAAGGTTCAGTATTACCCACCCCTTTAGCCCGCCGGCAAGTGGGGTAAACCCTTCGGTTTGACTGGCTCTGCAGTGATAACTGCTCTTACTACGTCTCATCTGCAAGCCCGGTCCTGTTCATCTTTTCACCTTTCAGCTTCACACTTGGCAACAATCCTAAACTCTTCTTTGTGATGTACCCGCTCATACAAGAGATGAATAAACTTTAAAACTTTTATTAAAAATCTACTCGCATAAAACGATGCATCCTTTCCTGCCATGGTTTTTGTGGTCCCCCGCTCTTCTGGGGGACCCAGTACCTTGGCAAATTAGTTCAGTTCAGCAGGGAGCAGGCCCGAAAATGTCTTCTCCAGGCTGCTCCGTGTGAACAGTGAGACAGGAATGCTGCACTCAGTCTTGCCGTCTCAGCTGCCACAGGATAGCCAGCACAGTACTGTTCTCAAACTCCTTCAGGTTTTTTGCAAACTCCAAGTGGGCTTTCATGTGTTTTGCACTGAGGAGAGTCTTCCGTCTAGCCACTCTGCCATAAAGGCCAGATTGGTGGAGGGCTGCAGTGATGGTTGCCCTTCTGCAACTTTGTCCCATCTCCACAAAGAATCTCTGGAGCTCAGTCAGACCATAGGGTTCTTGGTCATCTCTTACCAAGACCCCTCGCCCCAATTGCTCAGTTTGGCCAGGCGACCAGCTCTTGGAAGAGTCCTGGTTGTGCCAAACTTCTTCCATTTGAGAATTATGGAAGCCACTGTGCTCTTGGGAACCTTCAGTGCAGCAGAATTTTTTTTTGTAGCCTACCCCAGATCTGTGCCTAGCAATAATGCTGTCTCTGAGCTCTGCAGGCAGTTCCTTTGACCTCACGGCTTTTGCTGTGATACAGTATGCATGCTCAGCTGTGAGGCCTTCTAAAGAGAGGTGTGTGCCTTTCCAAACCAATCTATTCAATTTAATTTACCACAGGTGGACTTGGACTCCAATCAAGGTGTAGAAACACCTCAGCAACAATCAAGAGAAATGGGAGGCATCTGAGTTAAATTTAAAGTGTTGGTGCAAAGAGTCTGAGTACTAATGCCAGTGTGATATTTCAGTTTTTCCTTTTTCATGCATTTGCCAACATTTCTAAAATTCTGTTTTCCTTTTGTCATTATGGGGTACGGAGTGTAGATTAATCAGGGGAAAAAAGAATTTAAACAACTGTAGTATCAGGCTGCAACGTAACCAAATTGAAGAAAGTGAAGGGGGTCTGAATACTTTCGGAATGTACTGTGTATATATACACGCACCTCTACTGTATGAAAGTTTGTTCTGTGCATCCATTTGCACTGTACTGGTTACCTTTTGAAGATATTGTTAAAACCAATGAAAAAAATTAGCCAAAAATATATAAAATAACCTTGCACATTCCCTATAAAGATAAATTGTTGACCAAAGACAAAGTGGGCTACCTTTTTCAAAAGCTTAAACCTGCATTTTTAAAGGAATAGAACTGTCTATTGCCTGACAACATGATAGCTTTGAAAAATAACACGTTTGTAGATTGCCCAGGGTTCAATTAAAACTTTTCCATTTATTTCAGAATCATTGTAGAAAAGGACAAGTTTCGAATTAATACTTCATTAAAATGTAATCACTATTTCTCTACGGACTGTGCTCATTATGTGTCTCTGGTCTGGCATTCATAAATCTCTCTGCATCAAGTACTATTTCCTCTTGAAAGAATTGACTGTCTGTGCTTTGAGCTATTGGCTGATTTAATTTTCTTTCTAAAAATTGTTTTGGAGCATTTCTTTAATGCCGGCTTTTAATCTGCCATAATCTTATCATCCAACATTTTATTTGTGTGTCTACTCAATCACCTGACATGACATGTTGGAGCAGAGGAGAATGCGTTCAGCTTTTATTAAACAATATAGCAATATGTTTTGTGGAGATGGAGAGATGAAATTAATTATTACTGTATTATAATATGGAAAAAGTTCTGCTAATAACCATTCTTAAAGCTGTAGTTTTTCCCCAGTTTTGTATTTTCGAGAGAATTCAGAGTGACTTTTAACCCAAATCTGCATTGAAGTATATCTATATCCAATTTTTGGCTGATCTATTGAAGAGCTACCACATTGCTGTATGGTACAAAGTGGCTTTTCCTCTGCTCTGAAAACACGGGGTCACTTGCTTGGCACAACAAAAGAACACCTTGTGTTCATTGATAAAAAATACTAGGCATTCTCTGAATGGCCACTGTCCTGAGTGAGGGACCCCCTGTGTTTCCACAGCAGTGGGGAAGCCGCACAGTACCAGGACCTGGAAGCTGAGAAGCTCCAGCTACTACAGTGCTTTACAGGTTACCAGTAGCCCACTCGGGTATAGGATAGGCAAACTTTCATTGGGCCAAGCTGGACCAATGTAAGCATGCATAATAATGTATACCTGAAGTTCAGCTTTGTTAAGTAGGGAAGGCTAGACCCGCTTTTGGCTTTTGATTGTCAGTTTCCCTCACATCCTGTCTGGTAAAAGGTTGTCACTAGAACAGAAAGTGTGGACAAATCTCTCTGATGGAGTCTTGGATAGCAAAAAAAAACCTGACACAGGTTCTAACCTTTCCCCATTCTATGCAAAAAAAAAAAGGTTTTTGGTGTAGATGCATTTTAATTCATGCTTTATTTTAGAGTTGTATGACTGACTGCTTTTTAGAATGACATAACTGAGCTAATGTTCACTAGTGACCAGTGACATCACTGACACTTTTTCATGTTTACAAGAACACTGGGGACCAACAGCATGGTGGCAGGTAACACGTTTGTATGACTGCAATATACCAGATGTATATAGTAACAGCACTGTGCTCTGGGTCTCTTCTTATGCCATTTTGTACCCAACTACTTCGTTATCTCTCCATCAAGCCTATTTTGTCTGTGCTGAAACCAAAGCCTCCATTCCGGAATCCTGATACTGGCCATCCCTCTCATATTTCCCGCTTCCGTTCCTGATAGACACAGCAAAACATTACTGCTTCAAGGATGTTAAATATTGATTTGACTAAAGTGGGCATTGGCATTATGCCAAGCCATTAGATGGAAGACAAGCTGCCAGCTCCTCGTTCCAGTTGCCTCCATAGCATTGGTTACGATGGCATGTTGTAGCAGTGCCTATTGTTGTCCTTTTAATCATGATGTGAAAACGAGAGGCTAGTTCAGCAGTGATGCACAAGATCTGCAATTCAGTCCTTTGGGCATCATATAAAGACTTTGACGCATTCTACATTTATATCTTTATTGCTATCTGGCCTTGCCTGTGCTAATGCAAGAAGCTACCATATTTTGTCTTTTGCTGCAGTATACAAGGGGATGTCTGTCTCACTAACTGGTTATCGGGCAGCAGCATCCTTGGCAACCAGTTCAACATTACGTGGCTTTATAACTGATCTTTGTCAACAGTGAAATATACATATCTGTACTTTTAGCCACCAGAACATTTCTAATGCTGTTTAAAACGCCTTGTGACCCAGACAGTCTTTTATATAGCATAGCCAGGTCTGTGACCTCCCTTTTCTTGCCATTTGGTGATCCAGCTTCTTCACTGACCTGCCTTCTGTGTGGTTATTGATGGGGCAGCACCACTCGGAGGAGGCCATTCCTGTAGTCATCTTAAAGTGTGTGTGTGTGTGTGTGTTCCATTTGTGAAGTCAAATTTGAGAAAACCCCTGTATATGTTTGTGTTTCTGTTTACACAGCATAATGATAATGAAAATTATTTTTTTTACAAAATATTTCTTTATGAGCACCTTTTTGACATGTCCTTGTAGAAAGACTTGAGACAGAAATCTGTAGACTGCGTTTCTCATTAACTTAACATGCAATACAGAACTAGGATTCTGATCCTTAAACCCTTTGTTAGGTCAGACAGTGTTCAAAATCTACTTTATAAATCATAATGAAATACACAATACCGACAGGGTTAATACTCACCCCTCGCAACCCCTAACATTACAAAGATGGAGAAGCAAGTAGCAATTTTAACCCTTAAGAAGCCAAGAAACTAATCCAAGTAAAAGCAATTTAAACCACAGGAAACTTTTTTTTTAGCTTATGCTATGTGAATGGGAACATGTAACAATATAAATAGGTTTTATCCCATATTTGGAAATACACTTTAGGTGTTGGACAAACAGCACTGTGCATTGCAAAAAAAACACTGATTGGTGTACCCTTCTACTTACAATGTAAGTGCTACTATGCAGAAGATTACAGTTTAAGTGAATATTTTCAGATTCTTATACTAATTGTGCTTTAAAAAATACATATATTTATAATGAATACTTAACTAGACTTTTTTTGGTTTAATATTTGCTTTACATTTTGGAGCCGATTTACATTTGGATGCTGAATTATGTTTTTTTTTTCGTTTTTTAAAATTTCCCCTTAGCTTTGCAAGGTGACCCCCATGCGGTGCTGAAGGTCATGAGGAGGTATATCTGGGAATTTTTCGGCTGTCGTGAGTGTGCGCAGCATTTTGAAGCGATGGCAAAAGAGTCTATAGACACTGTGAAAACTGCAGACGAAGCGGCCCTGTGGTTATGGCAGAAACACAACGTGGTCAATAATAGACTGTCTGGTATGCAAATAAAATGATTCTGAACGTATTAGTTGGGGCTAAAGGAACATGTATCTGACTGCAGCCTATCAATTTAAATACTAGCACCTATAGTCATTCCCAAGTCGATGCAGCTCCCCCCCCAGCGCGCAAGGCTCCTGACGGGCTAGGATTACTATGGTCCACCAACCCGAAGGCCGGCGGACCCCGATCCTTTGGGGACCTGCCGAAACAGGTCCCTCACAGTACTAGGTTGGGGGGATCTCCCAAAGAGACCCCCTGGGTGGGAGGAGACAGAGAACCTTATATGAGGGCACAGAATCTCATTCCCAACTTCGGGAAAAGGCCCCGAAGGAATCTGCACCCATAGTCATCTGTGGGTCAAAATAGGAAAAATAAAGTGCCAATCGTGCATGTAGTGCGATTAAAAAAAAATCTAAAGTGCCAGTGCACCACGCTGACAGGCCTCAGGGGCCGGAGTGCAAAAATATTACCCGGACTAGCCATAAGGCCTGTCCAAGAGGCGTTGTGCAGAGAAATGCAATAGTGCCGTGTCCATGTGCACAGTGAGTCACTTGTGGGGTCCCACACCCTAGTGATGTTCTGAACACCCATGGGACTCCACCCCCAGGGGGCACAGCACCACAGGCTCTGCCGCCCTCCAGCCAGACCAAGCTTTTCTCCATTCCCATCAGAAGATAGCACCTTCAGAGATCCCTCCACTGGAGCCAACCCATTATCAAGGGTCTAAAACTCCAGTGGAGACCTGAACCTCCTCCGGCACCCACCAATTACACCAGGAATTACTAAGCCGCCATCTAACCCTCTCCGTAGGCGATGGCGGCCGTTCTGTCCCCGACAAATAAGAACAGATTTTTTTTTTTTTAAGAGCCCGTGGAACAAACTTCCCCCTGTGAACAAAAAAAGTGAACCGTGAAATTACAGCACACATAAACGTGCACAAGGATGCTTGGTCCTTCAATAAAGAAGGGACCTCGAATTCCCGACCCCCTGGGGCGCAAGGCTCTTGATGGGTTGAGATACTTTGGTCCACCAACCCGGAGGCTGGCAGGCCCCGATCCTTCGGGGACCTGCCGGAACAGGTCCCTCCAAGTACTAGGTAGGGGGCTCTCCCGAAGAGAGACCCCCTTGTTCGGGAGGAGGCAGAGAACCCTATATTAGGGCACAGAACCTCCTCCCCAGCATCAGGAATAGGCCCCGAAGGTACCTGCACCCTAAGCAATCTGTGGGTCAAATTTCAAAAACAAAAAACGTGCCAATCGTGCATGAGGTGCAATAAATAAATAAAGACTGCCAGTGCACCACGCTGACAGGCCCTAGGGTGCCGGAGCGCAAAAATATTGCCCCGGACTAGCCATAAGGCCTGTCTCGGAGGCGAAGTGCAGAATATGCAATATGGTGTGTGTCCATGTGCACAGTGAGTCATGTGGGGTCCCACACCCAAGTGACTTTCTGAGCACCCCTGGGACGCCACCCCCAGGGGGCACAACACCACGGGCTCTGCCGCCTCCCAACCCTCCGGCCAGACCTTGTGGTTCTCCGCTCACATCAGAAGGTAGTGCCTTCAGGGGCCCTCCCACTGTCTAGGGTCTACCCGATACTCTGGGCCTGACGCAACTGGCAGTGGACCGAACCCCATCCAACACCCACCTTTACGTCAGAGGGTACTAGGACGCATCCACCCCTTTCCATAGGTGGCAGCATCCTTTCCCCTCCAATAACTGATAAGAACAGATACTACACTTGTTCTTAGCCAAAAGGCCAAGAAGCCTTTTGTGTGGCACAGCATTTACTGTACATAAAGGTCCCCTCCCAATCCTCATTATGACACTAAGGGTGGCTATGTTGACATCAGCAAAAATAGCAATAAACACACACTTGGGGTTGTCTGTTGCTTTATATTTATGATTGTTTAAATCATGGAATTGTTTAAGAGCAGAATTTCATGTAACAAGCTTTAAAGAATAACGCCAGGCAACAATTGAATTGGCTTGCTAATGCTGGGCAGGGAACAAATTTGCTTCAATCTAAAAGTCCACTCAGTTAACTTGAGGTTTATAAAAACATCCCATGATCCCCTACAACTGATCCAGCAAGGCTTTCAGAAAGAATTGCAGCCTTTTGCTATTTGTTGAGTGCAAACACTCACCTTCAGATCAATATCACTTTGAATGTAATATTTGTGGTACAACCAACTGGAGAAAGATCTGAAGCGTAATTTTTCTTTTGGAGTGATTAGGGGTGTACATGATTAGCAGAATTCAGTATGTATAATCTCAGGCTCATATTTAGGTCTTCCTGGAACACCTGACAGCTAGTAATCAAAGGGCAATGCACAGCAGTTTGGTCTGATACTTGGGCTGTGCCAGGGTGATTGAAATCTCCTAGCAGGTAAGGTTTTGCCTGTGTTCATGCATCCGTGCTGTTTTTACCAGCTGGAAGTGTACATTTTAAATGCAAGGTTGCTGCATTTGTTTAGGTTTTTTAACAGCAGGTTTCAAAAATTGAGCTCTGAATGATTGCACAATAATGGATTTTGCTGGCTGCATGCTTTTATCCTGAAAATGATTAATATGAATGCTTTCAACACTAAATATGCTTTTCTAGTGGGAGGAGATCTATGGTTGCTTGCATTTTTACCTCATGCTCAACTGCAATTTACTGCACACCTTTTCAGAAGATATTTCTTACCATTATGGTTAAAACGTATTCATAGGCACAGTAGCTAACCTGTGAAAATTGCAATTTACCATCTCTTGCATTTTATTTACCTCTTGCAATTAATTTACAATTCATTATTAGAATTATAAAATGGAGTGTTTGCTAGGTACACAATTACTAAGAAGTTTTCGATTGTAGGTGCAAATACTGAAAAATAAATAAAGTCTGCTTCATCACCACTGAACAATGCTGCAGCTGACATTACCTTTATATTCACTGCCATTTCTGTGTTCAACCATTTAGTTCAATACATATTTAGCACTTGGCTTAAGGCCCCATTCACACTGAGCGATTTATCAAGCGATTTTTGCAGCGATATTGCTCATATTTCCACATATTGCTCTATGTAGCTTCTCCAATCCATTTCAACGGAGCTGTTCACATCTCGTCGCTCAATATCGCTTGTAGCTCGTCGCTGTAGCTTGTCGCTCCTACATGACCCTTTTTTCGAGCGATTTCGCTCCTGATTGCATACAGCCCAATAGGGACAAGTCGCTCAATATCGCTCATGGAAAATGGCGCGATTTTCATGTCGCTCAGTGTGAATGGGGCCTTAGAGGGCACAAAGCGCACTATAGCTGTATTTTCTGTGTGCGTGTTTGCTATAAAACTATAAGGGACATGTTTACAGAAAGTAAAATCTTCCATGCTTAAAACTAAACCAGTTTGCTTGTAAAAATCCCTTTTTTTTAAAATGAAAAACAAGTTTTGAAATGGTGATAGCTGTGGGGAATAAGAGCATAAGAAGCAATATAGTATTCTTGCAGTAACATATGTATTGCATGATGTGTACACATTATGTGGTGCATCAGTATGTCAGTGGCAGATGCATAACACCCCTTTTTGCACTTGCCCAGGAAAGGAAAAAATTATTCACACTCCCCTTTTATCAGCTTTCTCTGTGCTTACCATGTTTTCATAGTGATAGCTCTTTGTCCTCAAATACAGTAGTCCAGGCAAGGGGCACTGGGGAAAAATGACCTGCAAAATCTTTTTCCTTGTCTTGGCTCCTGGGCAGGCGCTGGATGCAAAACCTGAGCAGACCACTGCAGCAACATGCACGTAAAGGGAGCAGAAACGTAGGCCCCCTGGAAAGGGATCAGTGACGCACAGTTTTGACTTGTAGCAAACTCTTCTAGCCCTGTCCTTTTGAGGAATTGATTAGATTCATGCTTCTCCATTCATTTAAGGTACTAAAATTAAAACAAATAAACCATGGTGCTGGGGGAGTAACCATAGGGTTGTGCTATGCCTGACTGGGAACAGGAAATCTTTACCTTATTGCTTTATTAAATAGACAATAATTGTAAAATGTTGTTGCAGTTGGTGGCACCTATTTGATTTCTGTACTCCTAGGATTTTACAGTTTTTATATTCCAAAATGTTTGTTTTTTTCACTTTGATAATGTTGTTCATCATATAGAATATTGTTCTATGTTTTGCCAGTATAATTTGTGGTATACTAATAGCTCACACTAATGTACCGTTCTTCATGCAGGCGCGCCGAGTGAAGACCCGAAAAGCCCAAAAGTCCAGTGGCCAACACCTGACCTTTGCCCCGCATGCCATGAAGAGGAGGGTGGTGTCCATAGCTGGAATGAAAAGGAAGTTCTTGCCTTTCTTAAGCAACATTATGGTAGCAAATACATCTCCCTGCAGTATGCTGACCCAAACACTGAACGGTATGACCTAGAAGATGGAAAAAGTGACAAACTCCCTACAAAAAGTCTAGGAAACGATAACGACTCCGAAAAAGACAAGCATCGCAATCACCCTAGACCTGAATTCTTAGACAAGTTAATTCAAAATCAACCAAACAGAAGCAAAAATTCCAACCAGCATCCTGAAGACAGCAAAACGCCTGTCACTTTTCTAGGCATTGGCTTCTCCAACATAGATATGAGTCTTTGTGTGGTCCTTTATATAACATCTTCATTATTCCTTATGGTTATGTACTTTTTCTTCAGAGTCCGCTCGAGACGGTGGAAAATTAGATACAACAGACCTTATGTATAAGTGTGTGTATGTTTTTGTTTTTTAATTTAAAGTGTCTCGCCATTGACTTAAGACCACAAGCGTTTTGTACTATTTGCAGAACCAAGTCTGGTGATCAGGGATATGTTTTAATCTACATTTTAACTCCTTAAACTGTTCTGACGGTGCTGCTGAGCAAAGTATTTGTGGCTTGTTCAAATTGCCTATTTTTTATAACCTGTGGCAAACATAGCAATTAGGCCATTTTGAAGAGTTTTTAATATGTCCATCCAGGAAGCCTTTGTTTAGAGTCTTGTGGCCTTTACCACCAGCTTGGACATGCTTCAGATCTATAACTTGAATTTGAGGGGCTGCCTGCTGTAAAACACAACGTGACATTCCCTTCAGCTCGTGAACTTTTTGAAAATTCAGAAAAAACAATGTTTGCATTGACGTCAGTCTTTGATTCCAAAACCGCTGTGCTCATGATGTATTGGCCCTGAGCTTGATTGTCCTCAGCAACATTAAGCATAAGAAATTATTACTTAGGTTTCTCAGGAATATATATATATATATATACACACACACACACACACACACACACACACACACACACACACACACACACTTTCTGGGGAGTCACCATCCACCATGATGTATTCAGCAACTCTTTGAGAATTTGTTTGCCAAAGTGTTTTGTTGGGGTTTTTTTTCCATGGAAGTGTAATTCCCAATTTAAACAAAGGAAATGACATCAGTCACTCCTGTTGTTTCTTTCTTTTTAAATTAAAAAGAGGAGGATTAAAGATTTTGGGCCGTGAAGTCTAGCAAAGCCCTTTTTTTGTGAAAGGAAGCGGAGGAGCCTGGAGGCCGGTATTTGTGGGATTTAATGTTAATCTGAGTATTACAGTTTTGACCAAACTTTTTCCCCTTTGTGTATATTATGTGTGTTTGTGTTTCCTCTTCATGCAGGTTGGTGAGTGCTTTCAGTGCAAACTAATTTATTAGAAGACTATGTTTTGCTTTGTGAGACATTCATATGTGTAGCCATATTGTATTTGGCAGTTGGGAAACTTCAGTAGTACTTTGAGCCACTGACCGAGAGGAAATTTGCAGATCACTAGTTTTTATTTTACTATGATTCACTGGCTTCATTTTTTATTTTGGGTCCGTATAGTAATGTGAGAGGCAGTTAGGCCACTAACATTTTTTAGGAGGTGGTCAGCAAAAGCCATGGCAATACTTGTCTCGGCACAGGTTTCTTTTTAATGTTTGGGTCAGTCCACCCAAGTTTTTTTTTTTTTTTTCCCAATTTTTGGGGGAGATTGTCAGGTCAAGCCATCTGTTGTGGAATCTTGTGCCTGCATTCCCAGCTCCACTGCAGAGTTGGTTTGTCTGCCTTTTCGGCATCTGTTTTATGATGCCATACAGCATAACGAGTCAGATCCTGTTAGAGAGACCATGGGAAGAAAGAGAAGCAAGGAGTTCCAATATCTCACTGCTAGTAAACATGAGATGCAAGAACATCATTTGTAACCAACATGTTACCATCTAACCAAAACTCTCACATGTCTGTTTAGAAGAACTGACTAGGTATGGATAGCTTTATTGATGTAAATGAATGTATGTAAGGAATGGTCAGATTTATTCATATTTGTATACAGGTATAAAGTTTGCATCCTAAAGAGGATAACATTTTCCTACATGCCTGATATTACACTGATAACAAGAGACCATATTGTGTCTGTATAGTGGACCTCATAGCAACACCAAATGTCTACTTGTTCTAAACAGTTGTCACCTGAAGGGGTGTCCCTAGTGGCAGACTTTCCTTCACCTCCTATTCAGGTGGCAGCTGTAACATTTTGGGTTCCCCATTATTTTTTGTCCCCGTGACCATAATCGCCAGGACAATGAGGGCCGGTGTTAATGGGCTTTGGTTAATAGAATCAGTTTGCAGATTTTTTTTTAAAATCAGTATTCATTGACTGGTGCATTTGACCACCAGAGTGGGGATTATCAGTTCATTTTTATTGCCTTAGAAAGTCAGATGTGAAAACATCAGAGGGTCTGTGTGGAAGACTTAAGAACATGCAGTTAGGCCTTGTTCCCACTGGCTGCTCTACTCAACCTTCCTGATGGCCATGAGAATGTGACAAGGCATCATGTCATGGAAAATGCCTCAGTATTAGCAAGCAACTAAGCCATGCATTCTCTACATTTATGCTGCAGTACCAGACTGAACTGCGCTTGTATTTACGTGCCAAATGTGGCTCCCCTGCCAGCAAATTGCTGGACGGATGGTTAGATTGCAGCTGGGAAGGAACAGTCTCTGGTTGTGTTTTAACATCCAAGCCTGCTTGATTAGATTAAACTGAACCTGTGAGGATGGAAATATGGGAGTTGCCTTGATGAGTTGTTTTGAAGGTGCCTGCTCTGGAGCCAACATTCTCACCATGGCACTCGCCAAGCATACACCTAGTGAAGTCAGAACTACTGTCCTACCTACTTGTTTCAAGTCGGCAACTCACAGAGTAATAAAGTCAGGATCAGCATGATAGTCATTTGGCCTGCACCTTTTAAAAAAACAAGTCAATAGTACCTCCCATATTGCTGTCCTAATGGGTTCTATTAACCTCTTGCCGTCCGCCCGTAGTAAAAAAACGGACGGACGGCACGCACGGGCTAGCGGGCACGCACGGGCAGAAAAGACCTGCTAAATGCACACACCTGTTTCACATATAGGAAGATCAGTTATCAGATGATACGATTTCCCATTTCATTCCCTGTGTTTTAATCTGATTCCAGGACAATTGCAGTGTTTTCTGATCAGAGTTTCCAGTCAGTTTGAAACTAAATCTTTTTATCTTGTCAGATCTAATGAAATTGTGACTTGTGCTGTATGCTTGCATGAGCATGTTATTGGCTACCATTATAATGTTCGTGTGTTCAATGATTTTTATTTCATGGTGTGTGGGGGGAAAAAATATTTATTCAATTGTAAAAAAAAATAGGATCGAACGGCAAGTGGTATATAAAGGTGCCCATACACCTTACAATTTATCTGCAGATTTTCTGTGGTCAGATGGAAAAAGTGCAACAGATTGGACCGAGTGGAGATTACTCCATCCACACAGTTAAGTGTAGATGGAGGAATCTGTTCCACCTTTTCCATCTGACCACAGAAAATCTGCAGATAAATTGTAAGGTGTGTGGCCAGCTTAAGGCTGAAAAGAACAAGAAGTGATCGTAATTGAAAATTAGTCAGTTTTTAAAAAGAAAGGAACATTTTATTGAGTTTTAAAGATTGGCGCTTGTGTCCATAGGATATAATAGTCCGCAGGTCTGACATGTGACTGCTTAAGCTGCAAGTGGATAGAGACTCCTCTGTACTCAAGCAAATGTATTAAAACAAATGAACCAGAGCAGGCACCGGGAACCCGCATGTATGATCGCACAGCAACCATGATCCCTGAACCTATGTAACTGATTGTACACTGATTTTCAATTAGTACTGAGCAGTCTCTGTTTCTGTGTTTTGAAATTCCGAATATTACTGCTTTTGTGCTTTCTGTTCCTATGAGGTGCATTAAGGCATACGAATGTTTGATTAAATGTGACCGGCCTACTAAACAAAAATTTGCACCACATGCTGATGTAGGGATAAATCGGCATGTGTTTGGGTAGTTATCATTAACACTAGTGCTTCTGCGAATATGCACAAAGATGCATGCATTGGCAAGATCGTACACCCTGCCTTCTGTTCCCTGAGGCTTTTGACAGACTAAAGGTCCATTAACATTGGAGCATTGCGCTAATTGCACGTTACCACGCAACACCGATAGCTGTGTGCAGGTGCATTGCCATTCATTTGAATAACACAACTGTACACCAGCCGATGGGCATGCGTTGCAGGCAACACTCAGTACTGCTATACCATATGTTGCGGTGGGTAAAAAGTGGTGCATGCGCTACTTTTTCCTCACAGAAGCTCAAAGCACGGTATTGGGATTGCATTGCAATTCAAATGAATGGAAACCCACCTAGCACACGGTTCATGTGCTACTTTTTCATCACAACACACGATATTGCAGTACGCCACACTGCAATGCCTGGTCTCTGTGCAGTGCCTTGGGGTGTCATTGAAATGAATGGCTATGCAATGCACATTGCACACTAGGTGTGATAGAGCGTGCTAGACACACTAACGGATTAAGGCAACACACCAGTGTTAATGGGCCCTTAATGATAACTGTTTGCAGTTCCTGTACTTATGTAGGATGTGTGTTTAAAAATGCGGCTAGATTTAGACTGAAAAATCACATTTTTACTTTAAGCATGCCACAGCTTAGCTGGCTTGTATCTAGACACTGAAACATATCCTCCACTTCCATAGGCATGCCAACTACTAGGTGGAGCCAAGGAGCTACTCGGCTCCATCTAGTAGCAGGAATGCCATGTGTATGACATTTGCCCAACTATAGGCTGGGTGGAACGTTTATACAACAGCACCTAAGCATTCATAAAGAATGTTAATCGCTGATTAATAATTTTGCTGGAATTCTTTTATTTTTTATTTTTAATGTGTGCAAATTCCAGCCCATCTGTGTAGCTGCAGCTGCTGGTTTTTAGTACTTATGGCTCTTCTACCACATCTCCCATGCTTCCTTGCAGTGACCCCAGTCACTGAACTGCTCTTCAGGCGGATCATGAGTGACAGAACATAGCCTGGGCCCTTGCATGCCTTAGGCCCCGTTCACATTGAGCTCAAAGTCGCGCGATTTCCATGTCGCTCAGTGTGAATGGGGTCTAAGTGAGGGAGCTGGCCACGGGGTTGTGCAGACTGCAGCTGTGCACTCTACTGATCTGTTGGTTGGCTGATCAGTCCATCAGCCCTGCTTATGGAACATTAATTGAGCAACTTTGTAACAAGACTGTACAACAAAAGTCTGCACCATCCAGTGGCCAGCAGGGAGGATCGTGCTCATAGGGGTACCAGGAATGTGCTACCTTACTTGGGCTCATCACTCTGCTCTTCTGTGTAACTACAAATGGAAATATTAGGAAGGCCGAATGAAATGTGGACACAGGCTTCCAGGAAATCAATGTAAACACACTTGTCAAGATCGATTCCAATTTATAGGGTCTAAATGAAAATTCTAAAGGTGAAGGTTTTTTTTTTTTTTTTACTGTAGTGACTATTTAGATTTGTTCTGTTTATTATTCTTTTCATAGATTAGTGTGGTCATATGCTGTCAAATTAAAGCTATTGTTACAGATTCGCTATTAAATGTATGGGGTGACAACAGAGGGGCTAAGGGAGCTTAACACCTACACCCAAACACTCGAGGTTGTCTCAACATGTTGGAAAGTTTCTGCAGGACAAGTCGCTGATTGATCAGCATAGAAAAGTAAGGGAGAACTTGTGC